AGCCCAGACATGCACAAAACTCACACTTCTGGAGGTAGCCTACATATAACGAAGGGGTCTTTTGAGGGAGCCTCTATTGCGCTTGGGGGAACTCGCAGTATAGATATTGCTATAGCGTAACGTTTCTAGGAGGAGCCATCAAAGGGCATCCTTTCAGGTTCTGTTTCGGGCAGCTTGCTGTCCAGTTTAAGGTCAGAAATCAATGCTTTGTTTTACAGTAGCAAGATTGTGGTGTTCAGACTGATTTGCTGGGGTTAGGAGGGGAATAGGTCTCATTGACTTAATTGTGTTACTGGAAATAATAAGCTAGGACCTGAAACTCGACTTGAGAGATCTGTGGTGGGTTTCTGTATTGAAGGAAACCTTATCACAAGTACAAGAAAGCCCATTTTAGCAGGAGAAATGGTTTGGGACTACTGGTGAGGTTTTCACCCAAAAGAAAAACCCAACTTAATCAAACACTCTGACTGTACCAGAGTATTGAAAACCCTTCATCTCAATTCAGTTTGGGAAGCATAATTGAGTTTCGCACTGTAATTTAGTTCATGAAACTAATGGCTAAGGATGCTTTTTGTGTTTAATTCTTTTCATGAAGGAAATTCAGATGAAGAGGACTGCAATTGAAGCATTTAATGAAACCATTAAAATATTTGAGGAACAGTGTCACACACAAGAGCGATATAGCAAAGAATATATTGAACGATTTCGGAGAGAGGGGAATGAGAAAGAAATAGAACGGTAGGCTCTCAAACTACTTGTGGAAGTAAACTGCAAGTGTGCTTTTCCATGTGAAATAGATGCGTCATTGTCACCCCCAAGAAATTCCTTTACTAAGATCTATCTGAAACAAGGAAAGAAGTACAGCACTTTCAGGGGAGGTTCTGATCCCTGCTTGAAGCATTTCAAAAAGAAGAATTTCAGTGCATTTAACTTCCCCCTCCCCACCCCTTGCCTCTAAACTTCTGTGAAGTAAGCTGTTTACAACTTGGAGCTCTCCTCGGGAAGATGTCAGGCTTGGATAAGCATGTCTTTCTGAATTCAAAGAATATTGTCAAGGTAGAAGGAAAATTGCTTTATAGCTAAAACAGGATCTAAAAACTGAACTGACATTTTTGTTCTAATACTTAAGTGTATCTTGACTCGCATCTGATTTAAATCAAATCCCCTTGTCAGCTGTGTTCTCTTGCACATGCAGCTCTTAACAGTGTCAGTCAGCAGAATTCAGTCCGAAACCATTATTCTAGAGTAGTGCTCTGGATTATTTCTTAATTACTGAACTGGCTTATTCTTAATTCTTACTTTATGAAGCTGAAAAAACATCACAGAAGTTATCTTAGGTCCACATTAAGCTACAGTTCTAATTGAAGTCAGTAAGGCATTTCTGTGAAGCAGTTGATGTATATAGGGACAGTAGCAGGCAGTCTTCAGTGTGTGATGTTAAAAGTGATTCTACCCTGAAAAATGGCCCCGTCTGGCTCAGTAGACCTCTTCTGGGGGGGGGGGGGGGGGTCTAATAGTCATATTTACTAAAATAATACTATACTGAAACTTCAAAAAATGTACAGAAAGACTTTTATATCTCATCCATGGACAAGAACAGAACTATTCCTCCACAAGCATCAGCAACAGAACTGTTAACCAAATTCCAGTTACATAGATGAAGTGGCTTCAACTGGGACATGTCAGTGAGGCTACAAACAGGCGTTATCCTTGTCACAACAGAAAACATTTTGTGACAAACACACCCATATGATGACTTTCTTCTACTGTCACTCCACAAATCCTCAGAAATCTTTGCATGACTATACCTAGTAACACTTTTGTTTTGCCTTATTGTGGAGAGCATCTGTACACTTACAGTGCAATTATGGCATGGGACTGGTGAACCAGGCTGCTCTTGATCACTCTTACCAGCTGCTTTAAAGGGGCAGTGAATGGGTATGACGGGCATCTTCTCCAATGCAGGACATGTTGCTGCACAGCCAGTGCTGTGACAATTATGACATCTTTTTACAGCCTGAAGGCCTAATTGGGTTGTACCTCACACACCTTAACGCTGGTGTGTTCAAAATAAACAATGCCATCTAGTCCAGCTCTTGGACCCCAGGTGAATTTGCATGAAATGCAGTTGGAGGACCCTCTCTCTTTGCCTGTAATCTGAGCACATTTGATATGGCAACCAGAAATGCTTTAAAGCTGGAACCCCTCCAGTCGCAGTTTTTAGTCCCTTTTCAGTGTAGGCCATACTTAATTGCTGGTACCTGTCAGTGGATCTTCTAATAAAAATCCAGAGGCCATTTAAATCCAGTGGGAATTGCATCAAAATATTATTTAGAATGGATTCTAAAGATATGTTGAAACCCAGCTACTCCCACCACCCCCTTAAAAATGCTTTTGTGTTACAAGACTGGTTATCTGACAAAAACCTGTAAGAGAAATTAATGGTTAGGGTGAAATCCTCTAAGAAGGTGTCACCCTTGTTGTTCAGCTGTGTCAGCACCAAGCACAATAAGGCAATGCAATCCTTCCTGTTTAATACATAATCCTTTAAAGAATCGCCATTGTTGTCATCTAAAGCTGCTGTAATAATTTGGGCAGCTACCTACTGCAAACCAGCCTCTCCCTTCTGTATTGAAAATGCTTGTAGTGCGCCATAAATGCAGGCAGCACTTCACAGCAGTGAGGCGCTATCTGTTTCCAAACAGTCTGATTCTGAGACAAAGAGGTTTTGCAATTAAGCTCCCATTTTTGTATGGGGTTACGCAGTAATTAAATATTGCCAGACATTTTGTGCAGAGTAGATAATAAGCTTTCTTTTCTTGGAATAAGCAGTTGCCTTTTGCCAGTGTCTTAAATGTTCCCAGTGAGATATTTGCAAATAAAATGCCAAATAGCTGAAACTATAGTAAAAAGGGTAAATATGGTGGCTAAGCTGATGGGGTTTCATAAAAATGGCAGTCAAGTCATTAACAATTGATTCTAGTCTGAAAAAGTACCACAATGCTTCCATGCTTCACTCTGAACCTATGTCGATTGTGCCATTATTTGTACAGATAAAGTGAAAGAATGTTGAGGGGTGTCTTTTGGGGGGGGGGGTCCCTCTCCCAACATTAGCTTGCAGGCCTGGCAATCTGAGAGTCAAGCTGTGTTCTTTCTAGTTTGCACATAATCACCAGTATTGAAAGTCTGCAGGGCAAACCCTGCTGTCAGACACCTGTACTGGTGTTACATAACTGACTAGAACCTAGTAAGTGAATCTGAGAGCAGAGGAGGAGGAATCGAGCCATTGCATGCTCCTAAAAATACCTGTTAAAAATGAAGACGCATTAAAAAAGGATCTGAATGTTATTACACAAGGAGCAGACCAAGGGTAGGAAAGGGACACACCAGTTGGTCACTTTTTGGATAGAGCTGCACTTAATCTAGAGCTTTACCATAGTAATAATTTAAACTGATGTTTAAGGGGAGATAAAGCTCTCACTTCTATATCTTATTCTGGTGGGGGTTTGGGGGGTTTTCTGTGTATAAAGGCACAAGCCATTCTCAAGGCTAGACCCTCTGGACTAGAATTGTCCTATTTCTCTGCTGCTTAAACATTACAAACTTCCTTCTAGAATCATGATGAATTATGAGAAATTAAAATCACGCCTGGGTGAGATCCACGATAGTAAAATGCGTTTGGAGCAGGATTTGAAGAAACAAGCTCTGGACAACAGGGAAATTGATAAGAAAATGAACAGTATCAAACCTGATCTCATCCAGCTGCGCAAGATCAGAGATCAGTACCTTGTGTAAGTAAGCATAGCACGCGTCACTCAAAGCAATGCCAGTGATGAACCTAGCTAATGCAGTCTTCATCGTTTTCTGTGCTCATGATGGTAACATGAGCGTGGTTTCTTTTATGATCAGAATTGTTGGCATTTAATACACTAGACCCAAAGTGCAGAGTGACTGGGTTATCCTTTCCATTGCTCCTGTAATAACATCGTGTCTTAATTACTGCAGCAGTTGGCTGTCAAACCATATCTGCTGTAGGCCAGGATTCACAACATGTGTATATGATTCTTGTGAGCTGAAGCAAAAAGGATGATGGATGCTGTCATCCAGCATTCACCTTTTACTAAACATGAGCAGAAGCTGGGGAGAGCAGCAAGCAAAGCTCTTGAGGGTATCATGCTCACTCTCCCCTCCTTTCTCCCCCACCCCACCCCCTGCCAATAGGATTAGGAATTCACGGGTCTGAAGAGATGGTGCACTGTAGCATGTAGTTTTATGAACCTGGCCGGTATTTGAAAAAGGCGCACCACACTCCTCAGTGCCCAGATGCCTTCAGGGGAAGGTGGGAAGACGTCTATAGTGACAAGATGTTTTTTCGGGGGGAGGGAAGCAGGCTGCCATCACCAGGAGGCTTGGCCCATTCCTTCTACTAGTAACTTCTAGTGTTTACAGGCTGTCCTTTTTTTGCTCCTGCTCTTTCGTACCATCCCTTCCAGTGAAAAGGGCATCTTAGTTTTTCTGTTGTTCCTCTGCACACCCCTCCCCCAACCCTGTGAAGGTGTCCCCGAGAGTGTCAGAGGATGAGTCTTGCATGTTCTGAGCCTGCTTTTGCTTTCCCATGGTGGGTTACTTATGACTGTAGGTACATTCTTCCTGGGTTCTGTGTCTGAGCTTCCCTTGGTCCTGTTTGGTCAGTAACCAACAACTAGGAAAGAGATTAATGCCCTCTCTTCTCTTCTGGCAGATGGCTCAATCACAAAGGAGTGAGGCAGAAGCGAATAAATGACTGGCTGGGAATCAAGAATGAAAATATTGATGAGTAAGTGCCCTTGTATGTTTAGTCTTGCTGATAAGTGGCAGAGCTCAGTCTTCCAGTTGAGGCACTCACTAATGTGAAATGCCTATTTCTCTATAAAGGATTGTCATTCTTTCTCCATTGGAAGCTTTGTCTCATTTGAGCCAACAGCTCCATGCTGAGCTGATGTGCATGCAAGTATCTCTGGGAATAAGGAGTCTTAGTTGGTGCCAAGGAAACACAGCAGGCTGACCTCCCAATTTGAGCAGCCTCTTCCCAGTTGTGTTGTACCTTTTTTATGCAAGAGTAAATCCTCCTCCTTATGACTGAGTCCTACAGTAAATGTGTGGTTGAGCTAACAAGTTCCATCTTCTCTAGTACATACTTCGTGAATGAAGAAGATGAAAATCTGCCACACTACGATGAGAAAACTTGGTTTGTTGGGGATCTCAACCGTATCCAGGCAGAAGACTTGCTCTGTGGGAAACCTGACGGATCGTTTTTAATTCGAGAAAGTAGCAAGAAAGGATGTTACGCTTGTTCTGTGGTGTAAGTCTGTTCTTTGTGATCTGATTTCCTCAGGAACTTCTTGACTGTCTGTCTTGGGTATCTTCCATTTACGCTTGTTAGGGAAAACAAGTCACTGTAGACCTTAATGTGCTCAAATGAGTGTAGTATGTAGAGGGTGAGGCTAGCTAAAATGGCAGTCCTTTAGAGCCATTTGATTTGGAACCACAGGTATTATTATGGTTCTTACCACCTTCAGACTTGAAGTAGGTAACCCTTGAGGTCTCTTCCAACCCTGTGGGTCTGTAATTTCAGTCATAAAATTACCAAGCTGCAGTCTTGCAGCATTGCATTTTGAAGCTCCATAATAATATATCCTTTAAGGAGGGCAACAGGGGCTAAATTTTTCCCATGCTTTTCCAAAGAAGGAGGCTAGCAGAAGCTGAGCTGAAATGCTCTGATACTGTTTTGAGACCTGCAGACATGTCAAACTCCAAATCCACACTTCTACTATGTTTAAATTCATGGTGGCACTTTAAGGAAAACATCGTTTGTGAGAAATGGGTGTTCTGGGCATTCATGTTTATTCTGGGTTTGACTCTTCTCACTCGTTTTAATGTAAGATTAGCACAACTTTAGTCTGTTTTAACTGACACTTCAGGAGTGGGGGGGTTGGGTGGTCTTGGAACATCAAGACCTGGTGCAGCAGGAGCCCTTGTCATGTGAAAGTCCCAGGAGTACTTACTCCCTAGTTCTGCTGCCCACCCACAGTGCACTTGATGGAAACCCCTGAAAACCTCATTTAACAAACCACTGCCCAGGAGATCCTGTTGGCTTAGTTCACTGGGCTCATCGAACTGAATTGTTGCTTGAATAAGCGTCTTACGGTTTACAGCAACAGGAGTTGCTTTCATGTTGTGAGGCTTTCCTCAAGCCCATAACACTGTTTCCTGCTTCTTTATAGTTTTCCTTTGTCTTTTTTTTTTTTCCCCCCTCCCTTCCTTTCTTAAGTAACGAGTCAAATTATGCCTGTGTGCTATGGAGGCTCCTTTAGAAATACTGTAGATGATCACTATTGAGGAATCCTTTTATTCATGAACATACCCAGACCTCAGCATCTGCACATTGTCAGTCATTTCTGTTTTGTGGCTTCTGAAGTACAGCTCTACGGCAAGCTTTCTTTTTGGAGGCTTCTAGAGCTAGGGCAGGCTAAATGTCCCTAGAGGGATGGGAGCTATCTAGAAAAGATGACTGTCACATGTCTAGTGTTTGAATTACAAAAGAGAGGATTATATAGTTGGTTTTTGAGAACCATTCCACTAATCTCTAGGGAAAGGACACTGGGAATAGTAAGTGAAGTTCTAGTCTAACTTGCTGAAAGCCAGCAGCCAGTGAATGCTGACCCTTTTTTAGCTGCAGGACCAAACAGTGGACACTGGGATAGCAGGAAGGAGCTGTCCCATGACTAGTTTCTTTCCATTGTGGCACATGGTAAGAATGCCTAGCCACCATCTCTGGAAGCATCCCTCCTTCACAGGCTCTTTGTGGTGGCCCCATTCCTCCTCTCTACCAGGCTTCTTTGTTTTGATTGTAAAGTATCCGTGCTGGCCATGTTACCTCCTAATGTTTAGTTTGTGTCGCTCTCGGGTTTGTTCCTCCTTGTTAAACTGTCATGTTTCTTTCCTTGCAGAGCTGATGGAGAAGTTAAACACTGTGTGATCTACAGCACTCCAAGGGGTTATGGGTTTGCAGAACCATATAACCTGTACAGCACACTTAAGGAATTAGTCCTTCATTACCAGCAGACATCCCTCGTCCAACACAATGATTCCTTAAATGTCAGGCTTGCCTATCCTGTCTACGCACAGATGCCCTCCTCCCTTTGCAGATAAATTCTGGGGAGGAGAAAAGTGTTGTCTATCTTGGATTTTTTTCTACAGTTTTTATTAGAACTTGGAGGGCATTCTTTCTCCTTAGACTGCTTGTTTTGCACAAGAAGTGATTCTGTGAATGTGAATCAAAGAGGCCTAGCAGCGACAAGACGACAACTTGGGTGTAGGTGTCCTGGTGCTACCTAAAGCTCAGCTGTGCTTTTACACTGATCCTTTTTGTTTCCTTTGTGGGAGGGGAATAAACTCAACACGTACAAAAAAGAAACTGGAAGCAAAACATCATTTTATGGAGAGGATTTTTTTTTGCCAGGCACCTTCAGCAGAACTCTTAATCGGAATTTTGTTTTCTCGTTCTTGTAGAGATAATGTGGGCGCCTCTGTAGAGGCATCAGTACAGTCTTTCAGTCTTAAACTCCAAGGAACTAGGGGGAAACTCTACCACAGCAATGTTCTCTGCTACATGAACAGCTTCACTGCGATTCAGCCGAACGTCCAAAAGAGGGCTTGTCTTGAGGTAGCATGGAATTTGGTGAGAGAAGACCAAAGGAATTATGGAAAGCTTCAGGTTTTTATTTAAATGGGGGGGAAAATCCTTATAAAGAAAAGTTACTTTATTTTTTACCAACAGTAAGAAAGTTTTGGTTTCAATGGCACTACAGGTCTTCGCTTAAAGGAAACATTTATAACCAAATTGAACCCACCAAAACTATTTGTTGCTGGATTGAGCACTTCTGGGGAAAGGTTGCATTAGCATCCGCACATACTTTTTACACCAAAACTTGAAACAAATAAAAGGAAAAGCTAAAACTTCTTGCGTGGTTTTGAAAACACTAATCTGTCTGATTTGATGTAATGGCTCCCCCTTCCCTTTCCTCTCCTCACGTCCCCCTTGGCACTCTTTTCTTCCCAATTTTTAAGATAATATGCTTCAGAATGTAAACCAGAATGAAGCTGGCACTCTTATTTTGAGTTGTGTTGCTGAGCATTTAACTACTCTGTTTGAAACCCTTGTAAATTTTAAATGTAAGTGTAAAGAAAAGGTGCAATGCAATGCTTCTGGATGGCTTGTTATACCAAATAATTACCTGAGTGATAGTCCTCCGACTTGCTTCTGTTCATAACTAGAGTTCCCATTTGAATTGGTAGTCATAAACCAGATTCTGGTCTGTCATTCCACTGAAGTCAAGGTTACGCAAGATGTTACAGATGCTGAACTTAGTTCCTCTTCTTGTAGCCATAATTAATGTTGCCCAGCTGACAAAACTCCAACTCATGCAGTGGTGCCAGTTCTGGAAATTGATCTACTGCTAACAGACTTCTAGGCACTTGCCAGCACTGGTTTACCTGTAGCAGTATGGGACTAAGTGGCCGTGTTTCTTGTCAGGTGTAACAATTCCTAATGAGTTAAATCCAAGGAACAGTTTCACTTGAAAAGAAAATAAATTGTTTCCTTGGCTATTGATTGTTTGTTCCTCCTAGGTCTCTAAATCAGAAAAAAATAAGTAAAGTGTGGCAGAAATGGCTTTGTTTGGCATCAAGGCAGAGCTGGCAAAGTAGTTACTCAGTGTGTAGCAACAGAATTTAATCTTGCTTCCTTCCATGATAGTGGTACCTTCTGAAGTGTGCCCATTCTACAGGAAGGGAGACAGTCTAATCGTTCAAACACTAGGCTGCAAGTTGGGACTCCCTGGTCTGTTCTTATCTTGTTACTGGCTTCCCGTTTGAGCCCAGACTTCGTATAAGCCCTGGGGAATAATGCCACGCCTGTGGAGGCTTAATTAATGTTTACATTGTGAAATTACCAGTCGAAGGCACTATAAGTTAGTATTATTAAGCAGGAAATTAATAATTCCTGAGCAGGGAAGTGACAAGTCTTGAGCACTGAAACACTAGCAGGAAGGGCAATCTAGGTTGCTTGGCGAGTCCAAGAAACACTTTATTTTGCACTATTTATGTCCCTGGGTACATCCAGGTGCTGGTTAACCAGCTAGAATGTGATCTTCAAATGAAGAATTGTCCAGCTGAAAAAGCCCCACAGACTGAAGCATATAGAAGCTGTGTGAGAAGAGTGAGACAAATGCAAGACCTGAGTTTCCTTCCTATTTGGCATCCATGTGGCTGCTGAGCAAGTGTCTGCTGCGTTCAGTGGAAAGCCAGAATCACATCTCCAGTTGTAGTATAAGGAACAGAAATTCTTCTCTAAGAAGAAACTGCATTTCTTGAGTAATTTGTATGTTCTACTCTGGCAACTCATCTCTACATCCAACATGCCTTCCTATGTTGACTCCAATCCCAGTTCATGACAGGGAAGGTTTGTCAGATATATACATTGTAGTTGGGTGTCTAACTCCAAATGAAAAATCAGTGGCTGTTGGGCGCTTAATGGCTATCTTTGCCTTAGAAAAAATCTACCTCTGTGTCAGAGTTCTCTTGCTTAGAATGGTGACTCCATTGAAGTCCATGGGAAGTTAATCCCTGATTTTTTCACTTCCAAGAGAAAGGAGTTAGGCTGAAAGGGCAACCTGACTGTTAAATATCTTGCTGTAGGAACTGTGAGCACTGTAGCAGTTATATTGTTTTAACCTGAGAAAGGTCAGGTTTTTTAAACCACACCATGATTTGCAGTCCTATAGCACCAATGGTAGCTGTACAGGGGAGAAACGGAGCTGTGTCAGAAGTGTCCCTAGTTGACCTTCAGTTTTGTGAGGTTTTGGACTGGATCTTGTGTTCGGTTATGCCAGCATAAATACAGAAGAATTCCATTGGCTTCTATGTTACTTTGGCTTTACAGTGGTGTGGCTGAATTCAGAACCTGTCCCCCTTCTATTTCGGACCTCTTCCCTAATCCCAGGTGCTGCGTTGCTGTGAGCAATACATAATAGAAAGCTAAAAGCCATCAAGAAGCATTTCCTATTACTTTCCCCAAACTTTCAGATTAGAACCACGTTCAAATTATACCTAGAAGTTCCTTGCTTGCCCTTTCCATCCCTGAGAGGTCCTGTTTTGCCTGTATGTCTTTATGCACTTGATTTAGGCACATAAGACACAGCTGCTAGTGTGTTGACCCACTTTTGTACTCGCATGCCATTGCACACCTACTATTGCATCAATTTTTGCACTTGTGGCAAGAGAAAAATGGGTCTCGAAGCCAACTGAAATATGTAGTGGGTATAATGCATTCCAGGGCTTGTCCCCATTGCCACTCATTTTGGTTGGCCTGATTCTTTAATTCAGAGTGGGTTTTATGCCAACAAATTGCCACTGCTCCCAGTCACCATTTTTAATTCCAGGACCTAGAAAACTGAATTGGGCCTGTCGGGTGCAAGATTAGGCCCCAGTACTAAAACCAGCTGTTTGCAGGCCTAAAACAAATGCATAAGAGATGATATGAAGATAAAATAAAGGAAACTCTTCTAAACCAACAGCATGTGATACTGTGTATGCATAGAGTGCTGAAACGTTCTGGTTTCAAGGGTCAGAAGATTGGGGGGGGAGGGGACAGTGCATTCAGTTTACTAGAGCAGCCATCTCTTTCCTGACTGCATCTGGACTAGTACCGATCTCACTGACCCACATTGTATTAAATGTATGTAGATTTGAATAAACCTTTTTTGCACAGTGTTAAATGGGGAAAATAATGTTGAAACTTTCAAATATGCACAGTTTCTTATCTGTTTTGAAGTACATTTGCAGGGATCATGGGGTGATTCAGTATTTTGCTTTCTCATGAATGGGAAACAAGATCTACTTCCACAGTTCCCATTGTGCCCATTACGCACAGTACATCAGCCAGGAATTATTACCTGTTGCTAAAGTTTATAAACTTCCAAATCTCCTGTTACACCTTTTTAACAGTCACAATTTTAATGAGCCCCTATGGGTGTGTGTCAAGCTGATCAGTTGCAGACTGAGAGGCAAGTACGATGAAGGGCACGGAGGAGCGATTGATGACTGCAGAGAGATGGCTTGCTGCATCAGTGCTTCATGATGGTTTATTTTTTAGTTAAATAGAGGATAAATAGTCTGAAAATATCCTATGTTTGGAAGTAAGGTTGCGGTAACTGCTCTGTACCTCTCGGTCTGAGTTCTGAGCTAGTACAGCCCTCCTCTCCATACCAAAATCCAATGCCCCTTTCATATGTGTGCGCACAGGCGCACACCCTTCCAAATATGACTAAAAGAGCAAAGTCTATTCCACATGCAATGGACCCAGTTTTTTCCTCACGTTCACCAGTGTAAGCAAGAGATTCCTCTGGTGGAAAACTCCATGTGAAAGGCGAATCCTGCCTGCCCGCTTTATGAAATCCAAATTCCAATTTGTACTTGCATTTCAAAAGAACAGAAATCAAAGCAAATCTCAGCCTTGTCCAGGCCGAGTAGCCATAATGGGCACTGTGGAAATTAATGTTGACACTTTGCTGTTTTAAGAGCTAGGGGGGGTGGGATCTTGGTTGCCCTAACACTTGCTCACTGTGCAAACGTGGATGGTAACGCATCCATAACTGAAGGCTATGGCTGTTTTAAAATGGCAGAATTGCTAACGGAGTGTCACACTTTGACAAGTTTGGAAAAGCCCCTTATTTGGTACTTGAAAAATCTTTTCTGTTGTGTGAATGTCTGTCTAGGTTTTATTTTTTTTTTCTTCTTTACACTAACAGGGAATAAAACTCTGCCATGTGAGCAAGTCGTGTGTGTGTGCGCGCGCTGCATTTTGCAGATATAAAACAGGTACTTTGAGGTGGGAGGTAAGGTTTGCGAGACAGGTTCCAAATGCAGTTTTAACAAAGCACTCTGGTAAGTTTGGGTTTGGAGTGTTGTTTAAATTGGGTGTCTACACGTGTGTTTACTGCGCAGTAAGTGGGTTTTACACCAGCATCTACAAGTGCAGGCATTACAGTGCAGTAACGCTGTGTGGACTGACTTGGGACTGAATGTTACCCCCAAGTCAGTCCACACACAGGGTTACTGTGCAGTAAGGTGTCTACATGTACCTTACTGCAGAGTACCTACTAGGTGTAAGTTGCCATAGTTACTGCGCAGTATGAGCATGCATGTGTAGACATGCACCCATACTGTGCAGTAACTTTAGGTTACTGTGCAGTAACTGTGCACGTGTAGATGCGCCCTTTATGTCCTAAAGTCCTGCTTGCTTTTGTTAGTTTTCATCCGTCTTTGGTAATTTAAATCACTAATGTCTGCTTTGTGAACAGCAAAGCCACAATATATTCCTGAAGAACAAAGATTTGTGCCAATATTTACTCTGAATGGTAAAATTAAGTAACATTTACAAAGGCTTATGCAAGCGAGAAAATAAGTTTGAAAATCCAGGTTTAGCATCTTCTGATTGTAGCTTGATCAGGGAGCAGACAGTTCTCTTGAACAGGACTCCCATCCATCTTCACAAAGGGAAAATCTGATTGCAAAGTGGACCTGTTCTCGATATTCGCCTAGGCAGCATTAGAATAACTGGCTATACCTTTTTTTTTTTTTTAAATCAATGTGCATGTTTGTAGAGAGAGAGAACAATCAGAATCCTGCTGGAAGTCCTCGGGGACTTAATTCAGCTATTTTTATAGAGATCTTTTCGTATTTGAAGGAAACTCGGATTGCTGACCCGCTTGTTTCCTTTGGCCCAGCTTGTGCAGGCAGGAGGAGTGAACTAAGCTACCGGCCCACATAGTAACCAGTCCTGTTTGTGTGCGTCGGGAGCGTGTTTCGACAGCGGTGTAGAAAAGTCTCTCAAACTTGGGTGACTGACATTCTGTGGGCAGGAACTGTTTCCACGGAAGGGGGAAATCCCTGAGCCCCCTTCAGAGTCCCTCCCCTTTGTTCTAGCGGGAGGTTTATAGATTGCAAATTCTTCTAGAAGAGGGCAGTGCTTAAAACGCGAGTCTTCGGGCTGGCTCCGTATGTGTAATGCAGATCTCCCTTTTTTGATCACTTGTGGCAGATAACCCACCCCCATTTTATGGCTAATGCAGATATACCTGGATTAAAATTCACCTTTACGTGCTTGGAACACTACAGCAAACAAAAGGAGGCAGCTCAGCCAATCAGCAGCTTCTCCCGATCATCAGTATTAGACAAAAGCGGCTTTCATTTGAAGTCATTTCATTTATTTTGCTTTGTTGTTCCGACTCTACTAATTCGTGTTGCTTTCAGTATATGAGCTTTAACAACTGAGAGTAACACTTTTCTTTTCCCCCTACACACTCAGCACCTCCGGTATTAACCACGGGCTTGCTGAGTTCTGCAGTGGTCATACAGTGGGCTCAGTCCTTTAGAAAAATGGTGGCGTCAAAAGGCAAACATGACATGGCACTGTCCCAGGGCCAAATTTGTCCCTGGCTTAAGTCTGTTAACTTCAGTGGAGCTGCAAACCCCTTCATGCCAGCAGCAAGCTTAGCCCTGGGACAGTTCATTCATGTGCAGCCAAGTGTTGAATTTTGGGGGGGTGAGTGACTTGTACATCAAGTGAGGATCCCTTTGATTAAACCTCTTGATTTTGTATATCTGGCAGTTTACAGCACCGTGGGATTGTAATGGTCTGCATCATATCTGTGTGTGTGTGCGCGTGTGTGTGTACTGTATGTATATAGATTTATGTAAAATATCTTCACTTACACATGGATATGCATTAGCCATAAGTGGCATTGTCCCTTAAGTGAAACAAAGTTCACTATTTGCACGTTTTACACATAAAGTTAGACAAAGTTGGGTTTATCACGACCATCTTGATTAATGCTTTTTGAGATTCTAGGTTATGATTTCTTTCGTTGGACTGGTTCTGTTGATAATTCTTTACTCTGGGATGACGCATCGACGTTTGTTCAAAGCAAAGGGTTTTTTAAAAAAGAAAAATAATCCCGTTTTCCTTCGAGATGCGGTAATATTTGCACGTTTTAAGTGAACCTAATGAAAATCCTGTCTAGAGCTAATGTGCAAAGGATGGGAAGTGTGTGCATCGCGTCGTGAATGGACTCTGTGTACGCGTGTGGGCCAGTCGAAGGGATGGGTGGATGTTTGGACTTGTACGGAGGGCTGAGATGACAGCGCACTCCTTGACGCCCTTTGCAGTCATGTTGCTTTTTTTTTTTCTTTAAGGGATACTGTATCTGTTTAGAACCTGCTTCTCAAGAAGCCGTTGGGTTTTTTCCATATGAATTCCAGCATGTAACTTTGGTACTCTTGTTGTTATTTGTGTAAAACCTGTTCTTCTGTCGTTTACGGTGTAGTCAAAAAAAATTAAAGGAATTCATGTAGTTTAACTTTTAAAAAGAAACAAACTGCTTCATAAAGAAACCAGTTGTATGTTAGTGTTTTCAGACAAGTCATACTGTAGTTTCTAGATCAGTAATGCAACGCTGTACTTGTCACCAGATGTGTTACGATTTTGCTGTATTTTTTTAGTAGATGGTTGGGCTTTTAAATCCCAGACACTAAACATCCTGGGCCTACTTGCTCTAGATCAAAAAAAATGCAATAAAAAATTGCAATAAAGCACATTGACATGTAACTGTTTTAGAAGGATGTACTGACAGCTGTTTCTAATAAATTCAGAAATACAGCCTAGTTGGTATGTTGTGGTGTTAGCTCTGTTTGTCTCTCCTGGCTGAGGCAATGAAAGGGAATTTATTTTTAAGGCTCAGTTCAAGACTAGAGGTCTCCTGGATTTTTTTTTACTTGTTGCCAAAGTAGCATTAGGTCTCCAGAAGCACAAGCAATTATATTTTCCACTGGGACTCGGTCCCTCGCTCTTCCACGAGCTTCATGCCTGCACCTAGGACAGGACTGGCGAGGCCTGGCTGGGCAAGAGGCCCCCGCGCAAACCTCCACAGACGTTGGCACGTTCTCAAGCTGGATCTCCAGTTCTGTCGAAACCTTGGAACAATTCCACGTTGCCAGAGCAGTGTGAAGGTGTTCTGGAGACCAAAGGTAACCAAAGGTAATGAGCAATTCCCTTCTTTTTTATTTAATAAAACCATTTCAGGTATTTAGATCAGAGGTAAGAACGCATCCAGAGCACTATGCAGGTGAAATGAGTCACAGCGAGTTTTAACCATTCCTGTCTCCAGTTACGGTTACTTTACTGAGTGCTTGGAGCCAGGGGTGGCCAAAGCATTTTCACTAACTGTGAAGGAAACCAAGTCCAGCGATCTGATGTCGGCTTTGAGAGAGAAAGTCTGGAGCATGTCACACTGGGCACGTCTGCACGAGACACTTACTGCGCATTAGCCTAATAAGTGCAGTAGTGTAGCAGTTAAAAACGGTGCGGCACAGGGTTATTAGGCTAACGCACAGTACACATCACAAAACTGCTGCCACTACTGCACAGTAACTAGTGCAGATTTAGTTAGTTACTGCCCATTTACTGTAGTACTTGCTTAATGAAGTACTAAGGCGTGTTAATGAATGTGTAGATGCGCCCCCTGGGTACAAGAGACGCCAATGGTTATAAAGCAGTAGTTCCAAGTCCCTTGCTCCCTAGGGTCTCGCCCCAGTTCTGCTCACCATAATGACCTGCACTCCTGGTTTTCATAGGTGTAAGCGAAATGCAGGGAGTTTGCTCCTACCACAATGAAGAGCAGGCAGGAGAATCGGGTCTTGGGGGGTAACGGATATTGTCACAGTGAGTCTCCTGGCACCAGTTGGACTGCTTCCCTCTGCCATCAGGCTGCAGCCATCGCCCCACTGCGCGGACTCGTTGCTGCCAGCGCCACAAGCTCCGGGGCACACACTTTACTGCTCATCTTCGTTGTTTTGGAGATGCTTCCACTTGGCTGTAGATTACCCCCCGTCTTATGCACGGGGCCTCGAGAACCCCACGTGTGGGGGGCCAAGCATTTTGAAAGGACAGATGAGAAGTAGTAACTGGTCCGTTTCTCTTTGGGGAAGGGGTTTGGAAGGCTTAATCGGCATCTTTGCCAAAGGTACCCAGGGAGGTGGGGCAAAAGAACAGGCAGATTCTTCCCAAGTAAACACATGGGATTTACAGAGCTGCTGGAACCTGCTTCCCTTTGCGCTGGTGTAACGGAGAGCGGCCTGCAGCAGCGTAATGGGGATCAGCCCCCGCTCGGCTGGTGGGAGGAGAGCGTGAGATCGAATACACCTGTTGACAAGTATGCCCGGCATTTCTCTCTCCTGGTCTCTTCTTTTTGGCTTGTCGGCATCATGCTGCAGTATTGTTCTGAGGTACAGTGCATCCAGGCTTTCGGTCGCTTGTATTGGCTGTGTTTTGGCTTCCGGCCCGCGGAGGCAGATCCATGTACAGCATTGCTCCGTGACTCCAGAATACCTGTCTGTCTTGCTGAATTAAAAACCTATTTTCTCGATGCTGCGGCGTGCGCTGTCTTGACTGAACGCTCCAGGAAAACGCAGCCCCGGCTGGGAAGTGGGGAAATGGTAACGGGGGCACAGACTCGGGCCTAATCGTGTGCCTGTGGTCAAGGCCCCTGTGTGAAAGGTGCTGGGGGCGTGCATGGCAGGACCCAGCGCGCTAAGGGAGCCCCTGCAAGAGGATGCTCAGGCTGGCTTCTTTACCCCCTTTCCCTGCGCCTCGCGGGGCCCTTTCCCCTCACTTCCTTGTGCAGCATAGACCCCGCCCCGCCCTCAGTTCACTGCACCCCAAAGAAGTGCCCATGCACTGCCACCATACCCTCCTCCCCTGCCCCCACGTCGGGGCACTGGCCTGGATCACCCAGGTGCCTGGCTGTTGTCCCAAGCCCCAGGGCCACTCTCTGGTCACAGCCGTGCCCTGCTGCAGGGAAAGCTCGGGACCGCTGGTTGCCCAGCCCAGCAGCTCTGCCCCCTTTGTCCAACACACCTGAGCTCCCAGGCTGGGGGACTTCTGGGGCAGGGGGCTGTTTTCCCCTTTCCGAGACCATGCACCATCAGGGGGGAGATGGGCACCAGGGCATGGTATTGCCCCCCATGCCTCATTCAGCACCGGCTTGAGGGCATGCTGGTTACACTGCCCAGGCCTAGGGCTGCACTGGCATGATCCGCCCTGCTCTGAACCTGGGCTATATCCCCCACGTTGCAAGCTTGTCCCGCTCGTGCAGCCCCGAGCAGCAGGGCTTACAGCCCGGGGGCATTGGCCCGTGCCAAGAGCAGCGTTGGCCCTTCCTGGGCTCGGGCCTGCTGTTCTGCACAGCCAAGTATCCTAAGAAAAGCAGAGGTCGCCTAATCCAGCCCCTGCTCCCAGCATCCGAAGGGAGAGAGGCCTTCTCCTCCCTGCAGCATTCAGCCTGCCCCTGGGCGCCCGTGCCAGGAACTCCCTGAGCTGTTCATCAGGCAGCGTGGTCTCTGCCCCACAAACCAGGGGAGAGGTTCAAAAGAAAGGGAGGCCCCCAGATGCTTCCCGGGCCCCAGCCATAGCCCTCCCAGCCCACGCAGCCCCGTGCCCATGGGGCACATCCAAACTGTGCTAGATGCTGAATTAACTGGACGCGCAGAGCCAACAGTGCTGGGGTGAGCGCTGATAGCAGAGCAACCCTGGTGCCCAGGCCCAGGAGCAGGCAGCGCAGGCTCACAGCAGGGAGACAGGACCGGGGAGAGAAACCACTGACACAGACCAAAGCCCCGGTGCTGCCTCAGGCTCCTGCCTACCAGCGCTGAAGCCCACGGGCCGGCCAGCTGGGATGGGCTGGAAACCCTGCTGTCCTAGCACAGCCTGGGGACGGGTTCCCGGCAAAGGCCAGAGCCACCCCCTAGCGACCCACCTGCATCATTCACAGCAAGGAAAGCCCTAGGCCAAACACTGCCAAGGCAAGCCAGACACCCGTGCACCACTTTGCATGTCACTGGTGTCCCTGGCACAGAGTCCAGGTCCTGCCCTATGCCCCCACCACCACCCCCCAGCCGGGTACCTGTGCTTTGCCCAAATTGCATGGTGGGTCCGACGTGGCAGTTTGGAAAGAGTCCAGCGCGGAGCAACAAACATGTTGAGGGCCCTGGGAGACGGGACGGAGGAGGAGCGTCTGGAGAAAAGGGGAGATTTGCTAATGGTCTGCAAACCCCTTCAGGGCAATGAGAGGATGGAGATGGGCTTTTCCCTATGGCTGTAGGGGACAGGACTGGGAGCAATGGCCTCAAGCTGCAGCAGGGGAAACTGAGGCTGCAGCTGAGGAAGAACTGTCTGGCTCGGAGGGAGGGTCACGCACTGAAATAGGCACCTAGAGAGGTGGGGGCGTCTCCATCCTGGGACGTGTTCAAGAGCAGGCTGGATGGACACGTGGCTGGGATGGGTTAGTCAGGGCTGATCCTGCCTTGAGCAGGGGCTGGACTAGATGCGACCTCCTGAGACCCCCTCCAGCCCTGCTTTCCTGTGATCTCGGGATCCTCCCCCACTGTCCTAGCCCCGTGCCGTTCTGCAGCTGCCTTTCTCACCCCAGACGCAGCTGCATTGTCGGAGCTTGGAGGCGTTCAGGCTGGCTGGACAAACCACCCTGCGTAGACGGGGGGTCGCTGAGCTTGCCGAGGAGCCCTGCGCCCCAACGGAGCAGCTCAGCTTGGCGTTAAGGAGGCAGGCTTGCAAGAGCAGGCAACAGGGACACGCATGCATAGAAGCACGGGGCTTCCACCTTCGCTCCCATTGCCTACATGGGTTCAACGTGGCCTGTAGTGCCCACGCCAGAGGCCGAACGAGCCCGTTCAGTTCCCTGGGCAGAGCTGCGAGGCAGCAGGGAGATGGGACCCTCCACACAGCGCGGGCAGGACCTTTTGCCCGAGGCTGCCAGGCCTGGCAGGTGACCTCATTCCTTCCAAAACAGCAGGAAAAAACCCCACATCCCAAAGCCGTCACCCTGGGCTGTGTCACGGCAGGGGGAGGCTGCGACAGCCGCTGGAGCCAGCAGCCCTGGCCAAAGCCACCGCAGCTGGACCCAGCCCCGCTGCACTGCCTCTGGAAATAACACGTCTCTCGCATCCAGCGGCCCAGCACCCACCCATGAGAGTCTTCTCCCTCCCTTGCAGCGGAGAAAGCAACCCGGGCCCAGGTGTGAGCTGCAGGGGTTGTGGGGGGGGGGGGCAAAATGACCCTCCCAAAGGGCTGCCAGCCGCAAGCAGCTCCGAGCTGACTCCTGCCTTCAGCACCGGCGCGCTGGGTGCATCGCTCCTGGCGCCGCAGGACCCTCACACTGCTATGGCCCTTCGGGACAGGCCGTTCCCACGTGCAGCGAGCGCGCGCGGCCTCGATCACAGCTGAGGGCATGAGATGCACTGCTCCATGGGGGCCGGTCTGTGCAGCACAGCGTAGCGCGGGCCGTCCCAGGCCACAGACAATGGGAGGAGACACGGGCAGACACGGGGAGCCGGAGCGAGCCGTGCCGGGGCTGAAGAGCAAAGGGGAAGTAGAGGCACCGGTCGAGGGTGTCTGCCAGCCAAGGGGTTGGGCTGATGCTGCCCGGAGCAGGGGGCTGGACGTGACCCCCCGGCAGTCCCTGCATTTCTACATTGTCAGGAAGGGAGGCAAGCAACGGGGTGACCGAACACCACCATTGCAACCCACCCTGGGAGGGCTGGGACCCAGCGCAGCCACCGACAGGGAGGCGGCCCCTGGCGCCCGGGGGCAA